GTAGATATTTTACTTAAACAAAGACAAAAAAAATATGAGACACGCACACAATCTGAAAAAGCCTCACAGTACTTAGGTGACTTTTATTTATTCCAGGAAAAGTGACTGACATAAATTGAGCAGGCTTCTCGGGTAGTTTTAGATGGGTTGAGCAGAATAGCTTTCTGTTTCAAAATTGAAGTCAGCAATGAAAGGGGAGGTGATGGAGACATAGTGTCGGTAGGATAAGAAACCTAAATCTCATGCAGTGGGACTGGGCCATTAGTCCTACATATGCCCCCACTTCTACCCACAGTGAACTTGTGGAAAAACTATATATTCCCTTATGGAATGTGTTATAAATGGAAGTGATGAAAACATATAGGAGATCACACTGAACAAAAACGAAGGTTTTCCTGAACAAAGTCGAGCTAGAATTTAAAAATGGATTGACATAATCCAATATGTACTCCACCGTAGGAGTTAATACATTTTGATTTTAGCCCCTAGCCCACCACAACTCATCTGGAAAAAAACAAACAAACCAGGAGCAAAAGTCTACTAACCCCAAGACTTGTCTACATGAAAAGTTCTGTATGTATGACAGAAATGTAAGATGTAAAAAAGCTGGGGGTGGATGCAGTGTTTATATATGATTCTTCATTCTTCTCATTATGTATGAAATATTATACAATACTAAACCCTAAAAATGAATGAAAAAATGATTAAGGGTTACATAAGTGAAGGAGTTATATACAATGCAGGTGGAAATAACAATAGGCAAAGGCAGAGAGAAATTCCACTGGAAATATAGGTAAGATGCTTGACAAGGGTGCTTAGTAAGGACGTAAGAAGAGAAATGGGAGAGGAGTAATCCATCAGTCAAGTTCTAGTGAGAGGAAGTCAGAAGACACAGTGAGCAGAAGTGTCTGGTGGACAGCAGAACAATTAAACACTCATTAAACACCCAGGGAAAAGGAAGAGAATGATCACAGACTGAGTATGATAGTGTAACAGGCACTTTCAACACACTGTCTCATTTAATCTTCCCCACAGCACTGAGCTGGATATCATTACCCCTATTTTACACGAAGACCCTGAAGATCAGAGGTTAACTAACTTGACCGAGATCCCCCAGCTAGTAACCAGGAATCTGTTGACATATAACTGTTTCAAAAGCCAGTGTTCTCTTTGTAAAAAATCAGGGTTTTTTTTCTAGGTATAATTTATATGCCATTAACTTTACCCATTTTTAGCATGCAATTAATGAGTGTTAGTGAGTTTAATAGAATCGTGCAACCAGCACCACGATCCAATTTTCAATTCTTACTGAAATTCTATTTATTTTTGATACCAGTGCTCAGACTTCACCTCTTTATTATGTATCTAAACTTGTCATATTGCTTCCAACTTCTCACCTCTAATCCCTCCCTCCACAGACATTGGAGCACCCCCTTCTAGCCAAAACACTCTGTGAGTCTTCAGTAATTGTACTTGCATGTTTGTTGGACTGTAACTAATAGTTCATAAATTGGTCTCTCTCTTTCTGGGCCATGCTCCTTGAGGACAAGGGCAATGTTTTGTTTATCTTTATCTCTTGCTCCCAGCACAGTTCATGATAGGCACTAAAAGTATTGTTAATTTACTTCACTCAAAATTCCTAACAAGTTCTCGAACATTAGGAAACACTCAATGAATAATTTGTTACTTGTTGGTTTGATTGACTGATTGAGACCAGATCCCGTGCATTTCTCAAGGTTTTACTTGTTTTTTCCCTTTTGCTTTTCCTTTGCGGCTCTTCTCTGCACCCCACACCCCTTTCATTTTTAGAGAAGGCAGAGATGGAACAAAGCATAAGGAAATATGAGTTTAGGAAAAGAGGAATACATATGATACACAATAAATTTGCCTTTTGGGGGGGAGCTCAAACATTTACTTTTCCATAATATTTTGTTGAAGTGGGTCTAATATTTTGCAAAATATATTTAGTTTTGGAGTCAAGAACACAAGTTCTTTCCCATTGGTCTTAAAAATAACTTCTAACCGAAGGGAAGTTTGGGCAAGCTGTAGACGCCTGGCCTTCCTATACTTGCTTGTGTTCCAGAGGAGAAGAAATGTAGGCCACTCGGCCCTGCAGTTTTGTGCTTCAGCTGTCACTGGGCGAGCAGGGATCACAGCCACCTGGGTTCCAGTGCGTCGTCTCACCCAGGATCAGAGCCTTTGCTATTTGTTACTCATCTTACACATCACAAGTAGTCTATAGAACACCACATATGTAACCCTCCTTAAAAATTTTTACAACCTGTGGTTGCCAGCAGGTGCTTTACCTCTTTTTCTTACCCGCCACCTCACAGACAGGTGATGTCAGAGACTAGCGAGTATCCCCTCTTCCTTCCTCAACTGGCATTGAAAAACCGACATTCAGTTGTGGGTAATGGCTGATGGTTTCTGTCATTACCCTTTACTTGAAAACTCACAATAAATGAGGACAGTCAAGCTATTTCCTTAGTTTATTTAATGAAGATTCTGTGAAGGTGCTTCCAATGGGAAGCATAAAAAGAGACTGTCTCCTAGTGCAGTCACAGATCTATAGGTCAAGTAGCTTCTCTCTGAATATATATATATATGTATATGTATACATATATATTTTATGTATGTATATACACAAATAGCTATAGAAATGGTAGCTCTGAAAACCAAATTCTGGGACGTCAGGAAAATGCTTATCACACAAGGAAATTTTACATAACAGGGCTTAGTTTAGAAGCTTAAGATGATTTCACTGGTAAGATTGTCTTTTGTTTGCTGTTGTGATTTTATGCTGTATTAGATTTCTTTAATATTTTTCTCTTCGTTGTGTTTTACACCCGTTAGGCTTTACGCTATCTCAACTCATTTGCACCTACGGCCTGGCACTTGTTTTGACTAAGTAATCGCATGTCTTTCCCTACATAGCACAGCCCCTGAAACCTTATCTGCTAGGACCAGCCTTTCCCTGCCCCCGGAGGGCCTCCCAGCTACTCACTGTGTCTATTTTTCTCCAGGACTACACGAGAAAATCCACAAGGTTGACTTTGTTCTGTACCTTAAAACGTATATTGGGTCCTTACTCTATCACTGAAACTTTTTAAAGTTAAAATTGATCGAGCTCCTTCCATGTGTGAACTTCTTTAAATAACATAGCTTTAGGAGGAAGCTATCATTACTAGGCTCATTATACAAGAGAAGAAATGAGGCAAGAATGTTAAGCAGGCTGCCCAAGGTCACATGGTTAGTACAGAACAGAGCCAGAGTTGGAACTGACAGGCTGGCTCTGAAGCCCATGCTTTTGCCCACTTTGCTGTTTCTTTTGAACCACTGAATCCCATTTTCCTGTTGAATAATTATTAGTCTCCAGTAGTACACTTGCAGTGGAGATTCAGCCTGAGAGTTAGGAAACTTGGATTCTTGTTGTTTTAACTTGGAAAAAGAACTGCATTTAACTTGGAAGAGAACATGCATGTACAAAGGCCCAAAGGCCAGAGTGAGGAAGAAAAAGGCCAGCGTAAGGCAATGTGAAATGACTGCAGTGTTTTAGACTTGGGAGAGTCGGGGGTTAGCTGTGTGACATGATCGCTAATGTGCTCTACTAAAATCAATCACCCTGGCTGCCTAGAAGAGAGCGAAGAGGGCTGAGCATTTGGTAGGGTCTATGGAGAAAACCCAGGCAAGAGGTGATGGTAGTTTGGGCCAAGGTGTTGGTAGCACGCGTGTGTGTGTGTGTGTGTGTGTGTGTGTGTGTGTCTGCATTGTACACAGGGTGGGATGGGGTGGATGGATGGAAAGGATACTAAAACATGCGCCACTGACTGAAATGGATTGGATTACATAGAGGCTTTAACAGAACATTCTAGAAATTACATTTCCAAAAAGTGCTATTGCCTTCAGAGCAGCCTATTGGGGGTGGGTTACACACCCACTTCGATGATGCTTCCAGTCTCTCAGCAATCCTGGAAGGCCTCATTCAGAATTTCCTTCAGATCCAGTTTGTGAGACTAAGTAGAAAAACAAGTATGCATATATTCGTACTTCGTGAATCCCCAAAGCTGAGGGGACTACGCATTGTGTTAAGTTGCTGCCAGGTTTGTAAGAACTTCCTTCTATGACTCTGACCTGCCAATGTACACAGTGAGGTCACTTCTGTAAGAAAACAAGCAACTACTGCGTGGGACAAAAGCTAAGTCACCTGATTCAACAAAACAGGAGGATATGTTCTTTTGGCAAAGCATGAGCCAACTCAGAAAACTCAAGGAAGAAGAAATTCTTGGTTAGTTGGATTTTATTTATTTATTGGAGTGGATAACAAGTATCTTTCAGAAAACCGACACATTTTTCACAGGGGGAACAAAGAAGAATGGCGTTACACCCATCAGTTCTAAGGAACAGTGGGAAGTATGGTGGACGGAGTTCAAATTTCACGCCCAAGCCTACGGGTACCACTCTGACTAGCTGTGCAGGCTTAAACCAATTCTCTGAGCCTCGCTTTCCTTGCCTGTAAAATGGAGATACCTATGCCAGGAGTTTTGTGAGGTTTTACTAATAGAGCCCTCATTTCCAAACCCTCCCCCAATTTTCTCTCACCTAACCACTTTTTCTTCAGGTTAGAAAGAACAGGAATCCCTGAGAAAAGCAGGGATTAAAGGGCAACCCTCCAGGTGTTTTCAGGCTTTAAGTGGCTTTACCTTTCTCAGCTCTGCCAATAACCAGGGCGCAGAGCAAAGAATTCCTTGCTACTTCATCACCCTCAGCAAAGAAGGCTGCCCCACCCCCGGGGCAGTGCCTTTGGTTCAGAAGACATTCCCAGAACACCCCATCATTCAGGGAAACATGCAGCCCATTTAAATACCTGAGTCTTTTCAAGAAAATGAAAAGCTCAATCCTTAAGATCTGTTGAACTGTGAGATATACCGTATTTTCCAGACCATAAGACACGCCTAGGTGTTAGAGGAGGAAAATAGGAAAAAATTATTTGAAGCAAAAAATGTGGTAAGATATTTAATGACATAATATTTCACCAATGTAAATATAAACAGAACTCAAGAGCAGCATTAACACCCATTATTCCTCTCAAATTTGGAGGGAAAAGAAGTGTGTCTTATAGTTAGAAAAATATGGTAATACCCAAAGGCACACTCACATGATAGAATTATATATTGAAGAAGAATATTAAATGACATGGGGAGATGTTCATGATAAATTAAGTAAATGATTTACTTAATGTACTCCTGCAAAACAGTATACTAGGTCTGTACAGAAAGTATCCAGCTACGTAACATGAAAAATAGAGACATTTACTGAAGAAGATACAAGGTACAAGAAACACTGCACACAGGACAATGACACCTCAGTCCCCTTCAAGTAGGCACTGGAACCTCACACAGTTCTCCCAGCATCTCTTCCACTGCTCAAAACACTGTAAAATCCTTTGTTGGAATCGCCATCAGCGGCCCCATCATATTTTCCAAAATCTCCTCCCTTTCAAAGGTGATTTTAGTTTTAGGAAAAGCCAGAAGTCCCAGAGTGCCAAATCTGGGCTGTAGGGAGGCTGAGTCACCTTGGCCGCCGATCTTTGTTGATTCCGGCCCGTACATGTTCAACGTTCTTAGGTGTTCTGCTTGTTGCAGGCCTTCGAGAATGTGGATCACTTTCAGCAGATTCTTGACCATCTTTGAAGCATTTGTGCCACACTTTTATTTGCTCTGCACTCATTGCATTGTCCCCAAAAGCCTTCTGAATCATCTGAATAGTTTCTGCGGTGGAGCGTTCAAGCTTAACGCAAAATTTGATGCAGATACGTTGCTCTACTTTCTCAGTCATTTTGAATTTGATGGCCACGTAGTATGCATGCTCACTCAAAGATATCTGCTGTCCCCACTGACTAGTACAGTGAAGTCCTCACTGTTCACGCATACCCATTCCAGTCCACTCTCCTTGGTTGCCAGGTTACAGAGATGTCACGCAAACCATTCTCGTTATTCCGATCTTTTTACATTAATTAATTTACAGGAAAAAAAAACAGAAGAAAATAAAAGTTATTAATAAATTGTGAGTGGTAAGATCATGGGTGTTTTAAATTCTTTCCTAAACCTTATACAATAAATATTTGTTAATAAAAAGTTATAGTAAGCAAGTATTATATAGTACTTGAGACACAACTCCAAAGGACAGAAATTGTGACTACTCTGCTAACCACCACAGAAAAAACGAGCATTTAAAGAAATATGTTTTTTTTACCCAAGCAGACTTTGTAAAAGGGGACAGTGCCTCATTTGACTTTCTGCAAGTTGCCTCCTTTTTCAACCTTGTCCCACACACCAAAACTATTTATCTCCCCCTCAGGATTAAGAGTGGGGGAAAAAAATCAACCTGGCTCTTTTCCTGCCCCAGGATGTTCAATGTTGAGATTTAGAGCAGGGAAATTTCACATAATTCGGACTTCCCAGTACTGAAGGCTCCCGAACCCACCACTGGTCTGTACCCTGTTGGCCATTCACTTCCCGACAGTTGCCTCTCTGGACATCAAGGAGCTAACAGGAAATTCCTGCCCTGTAACCTCCTCAGTGGTCCTGGAAAGAGGTGGAAAGCACAGGGCCTGGAGTTTATTGACTTCTTAAAGAGGACTTGTAAGTGTAGTTAAAAAACTCTACATTGAACATTACTGTAGTTGTTATGAAACAATACCACTGACTGAATGCTTTCCAAGGGTCAGGAATACACAACGTTATTTAATTTTCACATTGGCCACTTAGGTATTATCCATATTCCACAGACAAAGACAGGCTGAGGTCAAGCAACGTACCTTCGGAGATTGCAAAATTATTTCAAAATTGCCTCCATTGTTCTTCATACTACTCTGCGACGAGAATTTTAACATGTGAAATGAAAGAACAGGTGGCTTTCAGATCCCTCCTGTGGGCCTCCATGGCTGATCCACTGAAGCAATTCATTTTTGGTTTCAATAAAGAGGTCCTGTACTTAGTAGGGCAATGGAAGCCAAACACAGGCCTATTGCACTAGATTATGAGTGGCAGATTTTAATCTGACCCTGAAGAAGGCAGGGTGTGGTGGAAGACTAGATACTAGCAGTAAACAACCAGGTCATGATGCACCTTGGCAACTGTTAAGATATGGACAGGGTTCTGTACATGTGATACTGGACCAACTAATTCTGCAGTTTGTCCGAGGGAGGGAGGGAGGAAAGCCAATGGCTCTGCCTGGGAAGAAAAAGGCAGAACATCTTAGGTGAGTGGATGATGCTTGGACCAGCTCAACCCCACCTACAAGGGGATTCTGTGTAAATAGCTGTGAAATTATTATGGCCAAGTAGGTATGTTACCATAAAACAGTATTTCATTCAGGTCCTGCATAAGACAATCTGCTACCTAATTCCTAAAGTGCAGTAGGTGTTAATATTGGTTTTTCGATATACACACATAATAGAAAGTAAAAAGTAAAATTATTTAGAAAGTAATTATAAATATATTACTGCATTTTCATTTCCTGTTTGGATGAAAGTGGAACTTCATCAAGAATCGAAGTAGAATAGGACCTGAGACACTGAGTTATTCTCATAGTGCTTGCTATATCAGAATCAAATTCCTCACGATGGGTCTTAATGCAAGTTAGTTTTAAAATTTGTAATCTTGATTTTAAAAAGTTTATTGATTTTGGGGGGGGGGAAGGGAGGGGAAGCAGCAGGAGAGGAAGCATTTTCCCAGAATTATGAATTAGCAACGCTGGGTCTTTGTCCCAGTTCTACCCCCAACCAGCTAAACAATTCTGAATAAATCTCTTAAAACTTCACAGTCCTCACCTGTCCAATGAGATTCTACAAGGCAGGTGATGCTTGACGTTGTTAATGTTCTTGAGACGAGCTAGCATTCCATGGGTATCCATAGCAACGATAAAAGTAAACCCAATGAGCTGGTACCCTTAGGTGCAGAGGTATCCCTACTTATCAAATTAAGACACTTGTGAAAAGCTGTCTTTATCCTCCAGAGTAGGGATGGTTCGCACTCTGAGTTAGGGAGCTTCGTGTAACTCTGCAGTAGAAAAACTCTCCCCTCACTAATCCCCATCCATCACGGAGAAAAAGAAGAGCAAGTGGGTAAGGGTATAGGACTTGGAGGTTGGAGTCCTGGGAGTTAAGACTGGAAGGCACCTCCCCAGCTGCAAGTTAAATTCCAGCGATCACTAGACGGGACTTATTCTACCCCTGCGACCTGTCAGGCATTGGAGTTGTGCTCTCCCAGGAGGAAAGTTCTAGCCTTTGAGATCCCACGAGGAGTTGCTTCGCCCTAACAAGGTCTAGAACTAACCACGAACGCTTAGGTCTTAATGAATTCAACACATCGTTTGTCACCGAGTTAAAAATGTGCAAAGAGGATCTTCTCGAATATCTGTTAATCACTCCGAGGGCCTGCTGGGCAGTCACAGAGCTCCTGGACCCACTGAGAATGAAACAGGAAACCCTCCGAAGAGGACACTCCACACTAAGTAGGACAGCTTCTAGAAATCTCGAAGGGGAATTCCCCATGTGGTCAGGCAAACGTACCATTCCTTATCTATCTCACCTACGCAAAAGCAAAGTTCTGACATTTATGCTTCAAAGCCTTGTGCAGTAGTTCTAGCCTGCTTAGACGCTTACAGGGCCTCGTGACAGGCTTCGGGTATTTTTATAGTTTGCTCCAGTTCAGTAATTGTGGCCTCCGCATTTATAATTCTCCTCCGTCCACTCCATCCTCCGTCTGTTGTATAAGCTTCAATGCATTCCTTTTATCACTTTTCTCTCCCAACCAAAACCAGTGGCAGGGACCTGCCTAAGCGGAATCCCTATAATACTGAGACAGCGCTGATGAGCTACTGCCCAGAAAGCCGGCACTGTAAAGGCTTTTGTTTCGATCACTATTGAGACTATTAAATCCACAAGGAAAGCAGTTTTCCTCCTCGACACTGCCCACCTCCTTCCCCGGGTCAAAGTCTCCCACGAGCAAAATAAAAGGCATCACCTCATCATTTCCAAGATTCCGCCGACACTTCTCTATCTCGGTAGGCCCTTCCCTTACAACGCGAAACGCTGTCTAGCACCTCAGCCAGTTAAGAGATTCCCCAGGCCAAAGGTTTTCCCATGGCGGGTCGACGTGCTTGGCGTTATTTTTCTAGTTCCCCAGGCCCAAGCCCGCCCACCGCTGTCGAAGCCATCTCTTTACTGGTCCGGAGGTATGCTCTTCTCCGCAGTGAGCCAATCAGAGTCTTACTTTCTACCCCAGGGATTTGGGAAACGGAAAAGACATCAACCGGTTCCCGGGAGTAAGGCGGGGCCGTAAAGGAGTGACATCACAATCCTCCAATGGGCAGAGCGCTAGGACCTGCCCCTCTGGCGCCTAGGCTAGAAAAGAGCGTTGATGCCGGCGGTAAAGATGAGTCCTAGGCGGCGCTGCCTGCTCAGCGGGTCTGAGGAGCGGGTGCTGCCGGCGGCCTCTTTGCGGGTGAGTGATTTTGTTTTAGAATATTGCTATTGGGAACATTTATATCTTTAAATAATGTGATGGCTTATTTTGGAGTGCGGGAAGGCCGGTTCCTTCACTCCCCCTGTTCAGTCTTTGAATCTGGCGCTCGCTAGTCCGCCCCTCCAGGCAACCCTTAAACGTCTCCCCCAGGTCCCTCTCTGCTGTCCCTTTCTCAGAATGAGCCTGTCTGGGAGTCACAGATCTGTGAGCTGACGGGAGGACGCGCCTTGGCAGTGATGTCTTGATGGCAAGAATAAATAGGAACTGAAGGGAGGGATGAACTCACCCTGGACGTCTGGCAGAGCCCCTTCAATGGTAGGGCTCCTGGAAGGAAGCTCAATGTCTTTTCAGGGCCATGCCACTCTATTTACGGCGATGGCAGACCTAGCCTGAAAAGTCTAAGTAGATGGAAAACACCTGAATGCCAAGGAAGGAGAAGGAGGTGAGTATCTGCAAAGGTTTCATGCAGCGCTCAAATCTGGAGCCAAATCACAGGTTCTTAGAACCACTAAAGTATATATATAACAAATAAGTGTATTTCTTCCCCTTTCAAAGGTATTAGGGGGCGCTGCATTACTAGAGAAGGGCAACAGAAATGCATAAGGGAAGCAAAGTTAAGTTCACAGTTAAGGTTTGAAGGATAATTGGTTGTTAGCTAACTTAGGATAACTCCAGTTCCCCAACCACCTTTCTTCCAAATTATGGACAGTTTATAGCTTGAGAGTGGTACCCGCATGTTACCTGACTGAATGCAGATGTTGGAGAAACAAATCAAATACTGTCTTTCACCAGTGGCTAATAAGGTTTTCCAGTAGAAAGCAGAAACATGTCAATGCGTCCTTTATATTACAACTGGCTCCCCTGAGGCCAGTGTTTAGGTTTTATCTACCTCTGTTTTCTTGTAGCAACCCCCCACACCAGAGATGTTTCTCAAGGTGGGGTGGACTTTAGAGACACATAATTCAAACAAACAGTGCAGCGGAAGGAGCTCCGAGTTTCAGGTCAAGACACCTAGGTTTTAGTCTTGAAGCTGTTGCTATTTGTGAGATCTTAAACAAATTATTTCAACTCTTTGACTCTTAATTTTTTGCATCTTTAAAAAGTGGGAGTTGCCTTAGATTATTTCTGAGGTCCATGCCTGTGTTAAAGATCTGTTTTAAAATGAAGATGATTAGACATTTTCTAGCACAAATATTTACATAAACAGAATCTCACTGCCGCATATTCCATACTAATCTGTTAGCAAATAAAACTTCCCAGCTGCGAAGATAATACTTGTTGTTTTGTGTCCATATTTAAGCCAAATGGACCATGGGAGAAAATTTGCCCATTTTACAGACTGACTGTTGCACAGAGGTATAATGTAGTAGAAAATGTCATTTTTTATTCCATCACCCAGAGGCAACCACTGTTTGTGTTTGGGTAGATCTTTTGCTCTCTCTTCCTCTTTTGCTTCCTACCGTTGGTTGAAACTGAGTGGTGCCTTTCATTTTAAGTAATGACTGATGCATCTAAATCCACCCATGCAAATGTTTGAACTGATCGGTCTCTTGAAATCCTTGGGATGAAATCTGGTGTGAGGGAATGTTTGTATGGGGAAGTAGGACTAAAAGAATTACTTAACAAAAATGTTTCATTGAAATTTGGCCACAGATATGGAAAAAACATACTTATAAAACATAAATGAAATGTTAGCCACCTCATTAAAACATTTGGATTGTAGAATATTGCTTAGGATTTAGTATGCTTCAAGGTCTGTATCTTACCATCAGCTTTACCCCCACCAACACACACACACACACACACACACACACACACACCCCTCACTTGATTTCATTCCTCCTTCCACTACCTTATTTGACTTTTTCTCTGTAGTCACCTCATTTTACTTTATTCTCAGCTTTTGCTTCTGCTCATGCCATCAGCAAGGTAAGATCACCTGAGGTCTGTGGCAGTCTTCTTGGTGTGTTAGCTAAAGTCTGCTCCATTCATTCCAGAATACCTCTCCCTTTTTGGTAGAGTGCTTCACCACAATCTCATTTAGTCTTCCTCATAGCCCCTTGAGGACAGTAATCTCATTATCCTCACAATTTTGGATAAGGATCCAGAAGTCTGGAGAGTTTAAGTAACTTGGTCAAGGTCACGTTGTCAGTAAGTAGCAAAGCTGGGACTGATACCCAGGTTTCTTGACTTCAAACTTTTGGGATTTGGTGGAGTTTCTGTTGACAAAAGCAACTACTCTGGGGAAATAAGTAACCAACAATCAGAAGGAGGTGTCACGAGTGGGTGTTGTCCACATCGGTGATGCCATGTCAGCTGGAACAGGCAACGTGCCCAGGAAACAGACATCTCATGACATATGAGTATGTGTATTTCTTTCCTGGGAGTGGGTGTCTGCCTGCTGTGGTCTGTTCTCCTTGTAGCCAGTGATCAGTAGTAGATGTAAAATTGGAGAATGACACAGTAATAGTGCCTAGAAAACACCTGTAGGTGGTAGCATTTGCTCCTGGTAAAGAGGTGTGTTTATAATGGAAATCTGAATGGGAAAGTTACTATAAAGCTAGGAAAAGTAAGAGATGGTGAACCACCTGGTACTTTTAGGTGTGCTCTTGTTTCAACTTTTAATATTGAGCTTGATTTGGGGGTAATCATACTTTAAGATTCTAAGGAACTCAGCTCCAGATTTCGTTTCCCATAAGAACTGTTCCTTTTGACTTTATTGGAAGCATGGTTAACCTCTCTCTCTCTTCTTTTTTTTCCTATATCCTCAAATATATAGCCGGCCTATCTTCTGTAGAATTAGGGTCCTACTGCAGCGGGGTTTGAGCTACACAGTGATGTTTGGACCAGGAAAAACAGCTGAGGGGTCTGTGGTAGCATTTGAATAGTTAGTATTGCAGGGTAAGCTTTGGATGATCCAAATCAGAGCCACTCTGGCTCTATATCTGTGTTTCCTGTCTCTTCAATATTATGTCATTGATCACATTTCTTACTCAATTTTTGGGTACAGGAAATGGAAAACAAAGGTTTTAGGCTGGTCTTGAATTGATCCTGTACTTTTTCTTACCTGTTCATGAGTTGTCATAATAGAATATTAGACATTACTTTTCAGATCCCTGAGGAAGAGAGGAAGCAATGTCCTAGGAGCATTAAACTGGAAGATGGGGCAAGCCTCAGATATGGTAGGGATGGGGGAGGTATGCAAAATTATATGGTTTAGTAAGGGGCAGGAGTAGAAGGCAGCATCTAGCTTGTTACACTACCTTTGTTGAACCTGCCTAGAGATTCTGGAGATAAAGTAGCAGTGGCCTCAGTAAATGCAGTGCCTTGCATGCACACCAGTCATTTATTGACCTACCCTCCCCATCCGCCTTGCCAAAAGGATGCGGATCTTGAAACATAACTTCAATTTTATGGTGGCATTTATGGAAAGAATATCTTTTGCCGTATAGCCAATTTAGAATACACACACGCACACACACAGTGCAAAGGATATTTGAAAATATAAGTCACGTACAAAGTATGTTTCCTTTGAATCACCTATTTGTTTCTGTCTTGCCAAGGCAATTAATTGCACAGCACCTGTTCTTGAGCAAATATTCATTCATTTGAAGTGCGAGGCACCATGACAATTTATGGAGATGTCTAATAGAAGGAGAGCACGTCAAAATGACAGATTATGTTTCTGAAGTTGGTTAACAAGATGAATAATTTTCCCTTATAGTTTTTCTTTAGCCCATTATTAAATAATTAAGCAAAGGTAAACTACTCAGACTCTTTTAAATGTTCTCAGTATTGTATTCTGTGAGGAATAAAAACAATTATGAATAGGATGCCATTATTCAAGGTACGTGCCATCCTGGCCAATAGTAAAATCGGGTGATTTAATAGTGTTGGGATTTTCTGTGGTGGGATGCTTACAGCTTCAATACAGTGATGGGATTAGTACATCTGAGTATAGTTTCCTGCTAGGCTAGTTGTCGCCAAATTAAGGCCTTCTGGCCCATTACCCGCTTTTGTACAACCCACAAACAATGAATGGTTTTTATATTTTTTAATGGTTGACATAAATCAAGAAGAATAATATTGCATGTGCATGAAAATTACGTGAAATTCTAATCCCACTGTTCGTACATAGTTTAATTGGAACACAGCCTCATTTATTCAGCTGTGTGTTATCTGTGGCTGTGTTCAGCTACAGTGGCAGAATATAGCACCACATAGCACAAGAAGCCTGAAGAATTTACTGTTTGCCCTTTTATGAAAGAGCTGCCAACACCTGAGCTAAGCGGTCGTGTCTTCACATTCATCTCCATCACATTTCAACAGCCATTATCCTGGTGCAGGCCTTCATGCTATGTTACCGGGATTATTGCAAAAGCCTCACCAAGTATTCATATCCTTGGTATTTCCCATCACAAACTGTATTTGTAAGTGCTGTCAGATTCCCCTAAAATACACATTATTAAGCCTTTAATGATGTCCCAGTGTTTACAGAGAACCTACATTCTTTGGCACAAGGCCCTTCTGAAGTCACTATTCAGTCTTATCTTTCTAGGCTAGTCTCCTCCTACTTCCTTGTTGCACCTTATACTTAGGGTGATCATATAATTTTCCAAATGGGGCATTCAAGTGGGAAAGGGGCCCTATAGTAATTATGCTGGGGAAACAGCCCTAAAGCAAGACTGTGGCAAACCAGGACACACGGTCAGCCTACGTATGCTCCAGCCAGTTTGCATGGGCCACCAGTTTTCATAAGCACCTGTTCCTTTGCCTCTACTCACTGTTCCCTTAGGCTAGACTTCCTTTTCCTTTTTCTGTAAATCTGAATCTTAAACATCTTTCCAGTCCAGCTTAAAGAGTGCCATGTCCATGAAGCTTTACTCAGAAATAATCTGTCTTTTTACCTCCCTTATGGATGGAGTGTTATCTCACCATGTGGACTGCTTTCGGCTTTAGTAATACACACCCACGCCCCC